CCTCATTGTGTTTTATTATATGAATAACCCCAGGCTTTGTGTCACTATTACTTCACTTGGTAGATAATTCAAAACCAACCAACCAAACAATCTTTGAGAACCAAATTTGTTAACTGATTATTTTTTTAAGTGAGCTTGGCACAAACTGTCGTGCATGTAGCTGATCCGTTCCAGGCTTTCTTTGAGTAATAATAATTATAATAATCCTTGCATTTGATATAGTGCCTTATCACATCATTGAGACATCTCAAAGTGCTTCACAGAATATATTGTAAAATGGAGTAACACTGTATTTTGTGGGTGAAATAATATTTGTGGTTTACATTATCAATCTGTACCATTTACTATTGAATACTCTATCTTAAGCATCCTTTTTTCCTGATTGTAAATCGTAGCCAAGCTTCTCCACCCTTTACGCTTGGACTCGCTTGCTGTTCTTTTCCAAACTTTTTATATATAAGATGGCAGCACGAGAACTAAAAGGATCTCTACTAGGGAAAATGCGTAGGTTTTATGCCTGATTTATACATCATTCTAGGAGAACTGCTGATGGGCACAATTAATGTCTTGTGACCTTTTTCTCATCCACCATTACCATTTAATATACTTTGCTGGATAATTGCTCCACAATACACCATGGAGCAACGTGTTCACTGCTGGAAACATATTTACTGCTGCATTCCACATGTGACAACCGTAACTGCTGTAATATAGTGGCTCTATTAAAATTCATAAGATGGGTTGTAGCTTTATCTGACTCCCTGTGTGATTAGCATGTATATTAATAGAGGCAGATGGTGCTAATTTCTTATGTTTACTTATAGGGCTAGATTTTGGATGAATTTCTTTTCTGAATGTTCTTAGTGAGACTGATGGTTAAGTTTGGAGCTCGCTTTTCCCAATTTACACTCACTGGCAGTGTTGGCCTCTATGTTGCATATGAAGTGGGTCAAATGTACAGTTCAACACCATATTGGCTTCACAAACCTCTTCAAACCCAATGTCATGTCATCACCGTCTCAGATCAGGAATCATTTCCCACCTTTTCATTAACTGAGCAGATGTTAGTACAGGACTATAGTCTGATCTCTCAGAGGCTGTGTTATAAGCAAAATGAAAAACTGGCCGACTTCTGGCTATTTGCTGTTTATGTTGCTTCCTGTGCACTGTGTGTGTCTGTTATTTGCAAGATATGCCACCGATGTCCCTTCCTTTTCGAAGAAATTAGTGTTGCTATTGGAACATATTAGGGAACTGAACAATTTCCCATGTTGCTTGCTTGCGACCACACCTAGGACTCGCAGGTTCAGTATATAGATTAGATACAGAGTAAACGTCCCTTTACTCTGTATTTAACTTCTGACAAAAAAAAGTGCTTCAGACAAATGCCATTTCCAAATCCCCACATCAGCAGCCTTTGGTACCTCTGAGTACCATTTGTAGTGTGGCTCTCTGCACTGCCTCCAGAGCTAGTTTTAATTTACATAATATTTTCACATTAATGACTGACCAGCAACAGCAAACCAGTTCTAATCTGTGCCCAGGCTCCACTTCAGATTATAGAACTGCCCTCTCTATACAGACTGAGTAATTAAGTGTCTTAATCATGCTCGTCATTCAAAAAGCTTAACTTGGATACTGCAGTCTCAGACCACGTTTCTCAGATCAATTCAACATTGTGCTGCTTTACTGTTGTAACAAATTTTCAATTTTAATTAATATGTAATATGCTGCAGTTAATGTGTCATTAATTTGTTACGTTTGGATAATTTCACCAAGGATAGTAATTTATCCCTACTCAGCCTTAAAGACACACATGATTGTTTTGGAAAGGCCTCTGGAACTGAGGCTTTGGAACCCTAAACTATTTTGCTACACATTGAGCTTTTGGGAGTTTATTCTACAATAAAGCTGTCAATGGGACAGATGCAAGTGAAGTCACCACTTTTAAACAGTAAACACATTTTTTTACCAAAAAAAGCAAAGAATTAGATGCATGTGACAGGAATGATATCAGAAATTATAACCAAATTATTTTTCCAACTGCAGTAGAAGTAAATGCAGTGTAGTTGTCAAAATATATTAATTAATTTATTAATGATTTTTCTGGTGCTTTTACGTGTGAATAAACCAGTCTGATAGATTTAACAGTATCTATCCAGGTCTGGTGCTGTCCTTTCAGCACTCCCATCTCTTTGATTAATGCTTTGTGGTAAGGCAAATGCAAGGATTATTATTTATAGTCTATGCTAGTCACTGCTTTCTCCAAATTCATTGAAATAAAATGTTTTAAATTGGCAACCACACAGCCCAACACTTGCCCAGTTAGGACTGCCCGACTCGCTCAACTGTTCAGGCTTCCAGGATTCAGGTCATATCTGTACCGTATCCCTGAGACACTCTGGTTAAGCACATTTGGTCAAGCATGTCTCCTCAGTCAATTCAACCCAAGCAACGTCCCCCCTTTCTTCCATTCCCCCCCCCCGATGATTGTTTTGGCCATTGCACCCATTGTATCAGTCTCAAAAGGGTGAAAGGCTGAGTGGAACCACCTGATTTTGGCAACCTCCCAATTCTAATTCTGCCCCCCTCCACACACCACCTTAATATATCTAAGTATTCCACATTCGCTGAATCTGTGAATCTTAGACCCCAATTGAGGCTTCTTTTTCCTCCCTTCCCACTGTATTTTGCCAATAATAATCCTTGCATCTGGTATATATTGACTTTATTCCCATTATGACTGCTCTGGACTTCCTTTCCTTTAGCCTGGTGCAAAATCTAAGATCCACTGCCCTCATTCAGAGGAACACTTATACAAGAACCAATGCAACTAAAAGCTGAAACCCTGTGATCTTCCAGTTGAGCAACTGGATTTTTTTTCATCTTATACTGGGATCTAGCTCCTGCAGCTTCACATTCTTACTCTGCTCAGTGGGTGAACCTGCGTGTTCTTTACTACAGCAGAAAATATGTGATTAGTCTCCTCAAAGGGGCATTGACTCAATGTGTACATAGTGTGATAAACCAGCTATTGGCATCTCTCCCTGTTAAAATCCATTACCCTGTGAAATTGTGTAACTTGTTAAGATTTTTTTGTATTGAAGTGCTTTGGTGGCCATTCATCAACTGTTCATTAGAATGTGAATGTGGCGAGCCCTCGGTGCAATCATTAGTTCTGAGTGAAGTCATTTGTTCCGCTTGGCTGAGGAGAATTGTTGGCAGTGTTGCTGATTTTACACTGAGCAGAGGCCTGGCCCCTGAGAGCCCTTCCTTTGACTCAGCTTCTCCCTCCAACACAATGGCGGTCTTCATCAGCTGCCCTTTTGTGAAGATCAAGGACAATTCTCTTTTCTTTTCTCTTTCACCCCCCCCCTTCATAACATCTGCCTCTCCACACACACACAAAAAGCATGAGTCAACGTATGATGTCATTGAGTAAGTAATTCAGTGGGAGCCAGCACCATCACTCATTCAGAGACTTGAAGATTGCACAGCCCAAGGAGTCAGACGAGTACACATCTTCGTTCATAAGGGGCAGATTATCCTATTGTGATCAGACATGAATATTGGTTTGTTGTAACTGGAATAAGACCGTGTGACTGAGTAAATATTCAGAGGGTTTTGCATTGTCCATCAGGTTGCTTGTCCAAGACAGTACTGATTCAGAATTAAGACAATATTCCTTTTGTGCATTTGAATAAACAAACTCCACTCCCCCACCCCCAACCCGCATTCCTCCACACACAGTCTGCAATGCTGGAACTTTCGCAGTGATTAACTTCGAAATTCTTTGTCAATTGCAAGGGACATAAGTCCTTGCATCAGTCATCTTTTATCTGGTGATATTGAATGTGTTTACTGCAGGAATGCACGGGGTCTTTGCTGCAATACTGAACAAAGTGGTAATTGATGCTGTGTTTATAGTGATAGAGTGGGATGACTGTGCCACATGATATCAGAGCTCTTAGACCACTTAGGACTCCAACAGGGGACAGTAAACAGATTTGCACATAATTGCTTTTACACAGTGAATACTGAATATGCGGTGTACATTGGCCAGGGAGACACGGACAAATTCAGCAGGGAGCTTAATAGAATTTTGATAATGGACATCAAGGGTATAAATATCATATGATGGTATGTGAGATTGGGTAGGTGAGCAGCTGTGGTTATTTCTGGTCCTTTACATTTTTGTTTATATATATATATATTTATATATATATATTCCTCCTTCAAGGCCGGTCTCAAGACCTTTCTCTTTGACCATGCCTTCAGCTCCCCTCTCGAGTCTCTACCCTCTCCTCGCTCCCTCCCTTCCCTCCCCTCACCATTTCCCCCCGCTCGGGTCCTGACCCAACTGTACAACGCCTTGGGACGTCCTCCCGACGTGAAAGGCGCTCTATAAATGGAATGTTGTTGTATATACACATATACTTGAACTCAGTCCATGTTATAGGCATTTTAGTAGCAAAAACCTGCAAGGTATACCAGTCACATCTGGCGTGGACTGCACATGGAGTCCTGTAGCCCAGTGGTTAGAACACTCGCCTTGCAAGCGAGACACCTGGGTTCAATTCCAGGCAGAGGGCGAAACCTTGTTTCCTTACTCCACACGCCTAATAATAATCCCTCCGAAACAATAATAAATTGATCATTTTCAATCCACGACTGTTTGTGGGACACTGCTGTGCGCAACTGGCTGCTGCATTTCACCCACAAATATTGTAATGGGGCATTTCTGTAAACTTATGGCACAATCAATTTCAGAACCTGGGTGCCAAACAGTAAGATGTGGGTTTGTATACAAAAGTTAGTCAAAACAGCAAGTTTTGTCTTTGCTGGGACATATGGAAAAAGTATCTGACCATATTATTAAAACTGGTCTGGGACAATGTAGAGAGATAGAATCCTACAGCACAGCCCAGTTATACCTATACTTGGGAATATTCAGTTCCAAATACAAAACTCACCAGAAAAAGACAACCTATTCTCAGTCATTTGTTGATACTCAATAGATGTATTTTATTGGCGATAATCAGGCTGTTCCCTTTTACAATTAATTTCAGTAGTTTGAGATTAAAGAGATACAGAATATTGCACACAAATTCTGAAGAACTAAATATTAATTTTGTATGGAAATGATCACTACAGCATCTTTGCTTTACACCATGGAACTCAAAGAAAAGCTTCAGCAATGTTTACAGGTCCATTTGATTAAAGTTGAGACAAGTTTTTTTTATTTTTTCAAATTTGCTTTTTTTAATGTTTTTTAAACTATTACATAGAGAGGAATATAACATATGAATAACATGCAAAAAACAAGCAGAGCTTTTTAGGTGTTAAATCCCAATGGGCTACTCCAGCATGGTTCTGAAATGCAATATAGTGGTTTTATTAAATGCTCTAACCTTTGTTGTATACTGTACTTTTGTCTAAACCAAATGACTTTAAAACCCAAAACTTAACCTTCTCGTTGAAATTTCCCACTCTGATCTTCTGAGAAATAAAAGCAACACAGAGAAACTTTAGACATGAGTCTTTCACGAACAGTTAAACAGAGGAGAGAAAAAACAGCATTGGCAGAGAAAAAAATACAAGCATCCCTTGCAGATTGTTCACATTATGTTCACATTTTTCTCAATAAAATATTCTTTAATTTGTTAGGAATCCTGCGCATTAGTTATTTTTCTACACCGACATGTACAGTTATTTCTTGGTTCTCTTCAGGTAAAATGAACATCATTGACTGAAATTCTAGACACTTTTATATATAAAGTCACAAACTAGTTGCTTTAAGAATCTTAAAATGTAAGAAGAGGCAAAGTTCAGTCTTGTAATAAACATTCATAAGTGGCATTGCAAAATTTTTGTAGTGCACGATTGACCTTGTTCAATCTACCAGTAGTTCTGCAAGTTCATGTGTATGTGGTTCATCCAAATGAAAAAGGACTGAATGAATGGGTTACTTTTTAATGTCAATTTTGATCAGCTTACCGCAGAGAGGAATTGATGTTTGCAAATTGACTGCTAACATTTGTTCTTTTTAAGTAGTTTGCCAGGAGTATTTGAATGGATCTCAGTTGTTTGCAAATTTGTAATAATTGTGTAGATTGTATCTAGCAGGAGGGCTCAGAAGTGATTTTGGGCTTTCACACAGTCATTTAACCTTATAACCTGTTAAGTATGCTTTGGTAAGCTGGGGCAGAAGAGAATACTTGCTGAAAACTGAACCCCTTTGATAATACTGTTTAACAGAAACATTCAAAAGTCGTAACCAACAGTTACCAACAACCAAAGAAGGGAAGCTGCAATTTTTAAAACCATTAATGTATTGGAATCCAGGTAAACTGAGCACATAGTTTGAGATTGAGGTGGTTAAAGAATCAGGAACAGGGAAAGGGAGGATGGTGATGGTTATTAAATTTGGTAACTGTTACGGCTGATCTTGCTAAGGTTAGTGGAATAAGGCCATCATAAAACACGGTAGAAGTAAAGCTGCCTGAAGCTTACACATGTGAGATAACACCAGGGCATTCACATTGCAAATCTTTCAAACCCATTCACCAATTTCCTACCAATGCTTGTCAGCTTTAAGTTCTTTATTGCTGTGTAGACTCGCAAGCGACTGATTAATTTGAGGATACAAAAGTCCTAGCAGCGTATTGAACACATTCCAGTCTCCTCTGCTTGCTGGAAAGCTCATGCTGTGTTATAGGCACACAATCAACAGCTCCCCAAGAACGTTGCTCAGGTTTCACTAACTTTTATTGCAATTAATGGAGCCTCAAGTTTCCTTTGCCTAAATACTGACCTGAATGTTAACAGAAAACTCCTTCTGCAAATCCAATAATGAATTATTAGAAGGGTTTTAAAGGATTCTATGCACATAGAGATTCAGGTCATCATTTTTTTTATTTTAGTTTTTTCTACCCCTCTCTCTCCTCCCCTGAATATTGACTTGCATTAAACATAGTTGAGCCTTGACAGTGGTAATCATATTCTCACTCTAGATCTCTACACGTATACCACACTAACAAGAGGAGAGAAAAGGTAACACTTAGGAGCAGTAATTCAGCCATCTTTTCCCATTTTTATGCAAATTGCAGCAATCATCTAAATCATTCTGAGCAGGGGGCTTTCCTTGTCTTTTGGCCAACCACTCAGAGTATTAAGTGCAATGGGGGCAGATACAATTTGAAATCTATTGACATAATGGATATCAATTTAATTGAACTTGAACCAACAAGTAGTAAGTAATCAAAATAAGTATTTACATATGGCCAATTAGGAAAAGAAATTAAGATTTCTGGTTTCTTAAAGAAAATTGGAATAACTAGGCATTTGATACTTTTTTTTCACCACTGGGTTTGTTTCACAGTTTGGATGGATCAGCATTTCTTGAATTAATTCAACACTCAAAACCTCATCCCTTTTTTCTGCAATCAGGTAGCTAGTACAGTAAAATGGACTCTCATGGGTTTGATGAGTGTTTAGTCATATTTTGTTTCTGCCTCAAATGCTAGGGTAACTTCTGGAGCTGTACATTGATGCAGCCAATTGGTTAACACAACGGCACTCAACAAGAAATCCTTGGTTTATTTGTTGGGAAAACCGTATACAACCGAGTTACCAGAACGGGGAAAAACCTTGCTGATGTAACAGGAACGATGTTCTCTGCACAAATGCCTGGGATTTGAGACTCATCAGTCATGAAGCTGAGGGAACAACATTACAGTACAGTGAATATGGATACCAAGGGAGCACACAAAGAAGCTGATCTTGCATAGGGAAGTAGCAGTACTTTATATAGATAAACTCGGGTCACGGACCCACAGTGCAGGACAGTGTAGATAAAATCATATAATTTGAAGTAGGGGTTAGGTAATACCAAATATGCTAACAGCCTGTCTATTGTTGTTGGCAAAAGAGTTGACCGAGAGACCGAAAGAGTTCTGGTGAAGGAAACTAATTCCTTAAGATCTTGTAAGAAACCAGAGGTAATTTGGCCTAGTTTAACCAACACTAGGATTCTCTGACAGCAAGACATTAACACTGGGAAAGATCATCCAATGTGTCTCAGAAGAAATCCAGTGGCCTGGTGTAAATGCAGCATCTAAAAACAGCAAGTGCAAATGAACCTTTCTATTTGTAAACACAGAATTTACAGCTTTTAATACTGGTTAGAGTTGTGCTTATAAATTAAAACAACATGAACTATAAACTCTATATAAAATACTGTTAATCTATATTTTAAACCATAAATTAAACCTTCCAATGAACCAAAAGCCCTTATTTATCTGGCATTACACAATTATGGTTTATCTTAATTAATAGCTACATAAATATTCTGCTTTACTTAACAGTGTAATGATAAATAAGGGGTAATTTCAACACAAAGAATATAATCCTCAAAATAATAGACATTGAAAAGGAATATAAAGTTCTGGTGTAGTCCTTTTGTGTGGATAGGACTACATTAAAGCACAACATAAACAAACACTTAAACTTAGTAGTCTACAAACACTTAAAATTCCCTTTTTTTATATCTGTTTCTAATGTCATCTCTCCCACTCCAATATCACTACAGGCCTACCTGCCTTGGGGCAATGGGTTAGATGCGTTAGATTAAACATTCCAAACCTTTTGGCAACTTATTGGGATGTTACCCTATGTGAGGGGCTCTACATAAATGCAAGTTGTTGTTGTATTAATTTTGCTTTTATTAGATATGCAGGGAGTGCAGTGCAAGACACAACAGGGAATCTCTAAGCTGCTAAACTTGCTTCTTTTGTTGAGCTATTGGTTTGAGTCCCCTTTAAAGGCTGCTTTTATTCCATATTGACCCTGGGCCTCACTACTGCCCAGATTTCTTACCCCAATTCAACGACTTATGAGCTTTCAGATGAAGTCTGTCTTGTCAACTGAAGCACAGCCATTTCATCAGCATTAAGTACACAATCCTATTTCGTTCTTGATCTTTCATGCTACAGCACAACGTACACACTTCTCTTTAACTGTACAAGTTACCTAAGAACAATCACTGCTCTACACACAAAATAGTATCCTATTATAGAACAGCTATCACTTCTCTCCCTCCTATTTGGTAGCCATTGAAAATGGCTCACTTACTACCACCCAACACAACCAGAAGCGTCACCCTTCACTATCCAGAAAAGGATCAATATCAGATCAATCCAATATCACATACCATTAACCAACACCAGTCATTATTGGAGCATAAGAAAACTACAGACATTATATACTGTTTTCATTAATGATTCCCCTCCCCACCCCACATGCAAATCTACATGCTTTGGGAAAGGACTCTTAGCTCAGTCCATTACCATCCTTCAAGCTAACTAAATGCACAAAGTTTAAATACACATATACATGCACACATAAACTGACCAGCTTCATATGCACACAGGTAAATGACTCGTATTCTACATCCCTCTTCTACACTCAATATAAAACCACATGTGGATGGGGGACACTACACATGACTGACACTGCTATGACGATTGCCTCTCATCACGTTTTGATCACACAGTTCCCATTCGACTCTCGCTTCATAATGCCTGGTTTGGCTTTTCTGACTCCTCCTATTGCGAAGTCTGCATTTGAAATGATTCACCATTAAATCCATCTGTGTTTGAATTATTGTTAGGTGCAATTCCCCAATGTGCTTGAACCATTCTGCCCATCTCAAACTGATGTGTGTGCATTTGAAACTGTACCAATTTCTTTCTGAGGCAGCACCACTTATTAGCGTTCCCACATTGAATCTGACTTGGTGGTGAATCTGTTCTGCAGTGCAATAAGATACCATTTGACTTCACAATATGTGTTTGAAATATCAGCTCTGGGTTATATTATGGTGCAGTAACTGTAAAGCCTGAAAGTTGGTGATGGAATTATGTTATTATGCAAAGTGTTAATACAACTTGGGGGAAATAGTTTGTTCAGTACAAGGGAGCTGCCTGGATGCCCTGTAGAAACTATAATTTTTAACTGATGTTTAATGGAATAGGAAAGAATAGGAGGCAATATTCTGGCCACCTGTTCCTTTGGATCACTGCCTGCACTACTCCTGGGTGCTGACAATCATGTATTAAAATCATGTTCCATTTCTACCATCAGTTCAAATTTCGAAGGACGCTGCTGGCTTTTGTTTCCCATCCCCATCGGGCTAACCTCTCCCAGCCTTAAACGTATGAAAAATTTCAAAAGTGCATGAGATACGCCCATGAGAGATGCAGTAAATTGGCAACACAAATCACAGCCAGTCTCAGCTCTGCATACCTGCGGCAGTAGTGCATTGAATATCTACATTCATCCTAATGTCTAAGGCAACCACACTTGATATACTTAAGCTTAATAGGCTACTCACAGTTTCCTTTGGTTTGTTAAAAAGGCAATATCCAATTAAAACATTTTGTTGCAATCACTCAAAAGGTTAATCAAAGTTTTATACATTACGCAGTCAATTTGTTTCTCTATGCTGAAGTAGAAATAAGTTTATTCAGAAATATTGTGGGTATATTAGCATGTGGATTTTTTTGTTACATTTTTGCTGATAGAAACCACTGTAAAACCTGACTCACAACTTAGTTATTTGGGTGTCTAACAGATTTACACATTGTAATGTTTCCATTACAGTGATCCCTCCTCACCACAACATGCAAAACAGTCAGTCTATGATGCAATAAAATCTTCTGTTATTAGTACGGCTAAGTACACGTCACCCAATTCACTGTCCATCACAATGCTTTTACATTTGTATTCATTGTGAATGGTTCACCTCCAAATCAGTACCAAAAGGGAACCACTGCAATACAAAAACAGAGTAAGTAGTGTGCTATGTACCAAGTATATGTCTAATTGATGTGGTTACAAGGTAGATGTACTTTTTAAACTAGATATTGCCTTTTTAAAGAGACAGAGCCCTTTGTTATTTGCCTTAGTAGGCTATGTTTAACAATTATTCCCTTTAACACACCTTTTCATTTCAATGTCTATACAATTCAGTGTTTCAAACAAATTAAAAAATATTAATATTATAAATAAAATTTAAAAGTGAACATTTTGTTTCTCCAAAATTTTCCTTTAATATGAGAAATGAAATTATTGTGTACATTTCAATTTTTTTCTCTTGTAGGGATACTTTTTGTTGTGCATTCTAAGTTGACATGCACAAAATGGATACTGTCTCTTTAAATACAATGAATTAGTATTATTCTTACGTCTTGTTCACAGTTTGCAGTATTATAACCTGTGTTGAACATTTTAAAGCATCCACTCACTTGCCAAGTGCCTGCCTGACAGACAGCAGATTTTTCATAGGGATCATCCTGAACACATGCAGCAACTTACTTGAAGAACTTTGGAAAAAGAATCTCTTTTCTCTCCCCCTCCCACCCAACCACCCCCCAAAAAAAGCTGAGTTGGGAATTGATAGTGCCAGGAAATGGTATATTCATAGCCACCTCCATAGCTCACCAAGACACATTCCCACCAATAATGCACCAGTCATGTAGCCTTGAATTAAAATAGTTCACCTTAACCTCAACCTCTGCACTAATTGAGCTCACAAGATGTTCATATTTGTTCCTCACTAAAATAAGACCTCTTATAAAATCATAAGAGGTTCAGACTAAGGACCTTTGGCCCATTCAATCTCATCCTTCCAGAATACCAACTCTACAGTATTTCCATTATAACATCAAGCCATTTCTTAAGTCCCATTGTTTTGGCCTCAATGGCCAATCCTGGTGACACAGTCCACTTTCCTAATGTTTGTTCAGTTGTGTGTCATGTACTTATCTACTGAACAGAGTTGGTAGAAGTTCATTCAACATGCCCCTCTTGAACTCTACTGTTTTCTGCAGCTTTTATCTGTCCTTGAAAATTTGAGGTTGCTGGGATCTGCAGAGTGACTGGCATTGGAAATTACATTATATAAATGAGTGACTCTTATAAATAGACAACTATTCTTTAACAAGAGTAATTATCTATTAAACCATTGGCTCAGTCCACTGGACCATGCAACTTCAGGAGCACATTGGACTTGGTCATGTTTGGAGTCACAAGGAATGTTGTCTTCAGAATACAAATAGAACTCTCTGCTCCAATGCCAAGCAAAACCCTCACTTCACAAATATAGCTGTAAAACCTTGCGGTGATGCTGAAAGTATGGAATAAACAAACTGCGATTGTTCTAACTAATTCCTACTTCCAAACCTCAATAGGCAGAAAAGCAAACAAACACACTCTATGTGGGACGATCCATAAAACAACAACCATTGTTTAGAGCAGGTACGTCTTCCTGTGTTCACGGAGCCAATCAAGAGTTTTTCCCCCCTTTTCTTAACAGTAAGCTGCAACTCTAGCCTTAATGCGCTTTATAACTCAATTAAAAAAAATGAATTAGTTTAACAATGGAATGGCAAAAGCATTTTGTTTTTGATCCTCAGACTTGTGGCAGGAGGCCTGGACCCTGTGGAGTTCAGAACTCAATCTTGCACGCTGGGAAAGACTCATCCTGCATCACAACGGTGCTGCTGCTGGCCAGGACCATGATGTTCAGCTCTTGCTGCCGTTCGTGCGTCTGCTGATACCACTCCCGCGTCACCTCGGTGTCGTGGGTTGGGATTAATGTCACCTGGAAAAACGAGTGAGTACCCTTAGCTAAGCAACCATCTTTTGTAACCCAGCTTTTGTGACAGCTGGAGGGCAAGTTTTAAATGCAATGCAAGTTCAATCAAACAAGCTTACGCTCGTGTTCAATTTCTGATTGAGTTGTTATTTAAAAAAAAATCGAAATGAAAAAAACTATTTGGTCACTCAATCCACGACTGTTTGCAGGACGCTGCTGTGCACAATTGGCTGCCACGTGGAGCCCACAAAATATACAGTCAATTCACTTTACAGTATATTCTGTGAAGTGCTTTGAGACGTCCCAAAGACGTGCTAAGGGGCTATAGCAAATGCAAGGATTTTTATTATTAGAAAAGGAATTTGGCTCAACTGACGTCAGACAGCAAGCTCTGCGAATTTGAATTTCAGTGGATCCACTTAGCCATTCACCCTTTTAAGGTCAATAAAATATCAAAGAGTTGTTTGGCGATGTTTCAGCAGCAATAATGGTGTCCTAATGTTGGTCAAAAGGCAACATTAGGACACTAGCCTCAAAAAACTTGATTTTGAGGCGAGGGGGGAGAAAAGAGAATTTTTTTCCTTTTGCTGAAATCTCAATACATCTAAACAATCAGAATCATTGAATGTTACACCACTAAGTCTGTACCAATGTTTTTCTGCATATGAAATATTAATCTATTCCCCCATTCCTACTCATTTCCTCCACACTTTAATAGTACTAATTTTCAAGCATCTGCTTGCCTCAACAAATGGAGGCAGAGAATTCCACTTTCTAACCATCCTCTGGGTAAAGAATCTTTTCCCCTCTCTAACAAGGAAATCAATTTCCTTGCTGACAAGGGTGGAAGATAAACCAAACAGCTAACGTACCTGCAGATTGTTCCCCCACTGGGACTTTCCTTCCAGCAGAGCGTCCAATACAGTTCGACTTGGTTCCCCGCTTCCTGGGTCATTCCCACTCACCACATAATAGGAAGATCGAACTCGCTTGAAAAATTCCAGGTCTACATTCTTTCCACTGCAGTGGTTAGGAATGTACGCCAAGTCCACGTAAACTGGGGGACCCGGAGGTAGACCGGAATTCGTCTTTATATTGGTGTGAGCTTTCAATAGAGAAAAATATCATTATAGATTTAGCTGCATTTGAAACCACATCCTAAAAGTTAGGAAACACTTTGTTCAAGGCTACGTGGGGCACAAGTAGCCATGATGCACTTACAAATACACCCTTACCTACAAATACACAGCAACTATGGTTGACAGCAAACATCCATGAAGTCTTTGAGACATTTGGTAGGCTATTTAAAATGCAAGCATTATTAATAGTAATTAATGATAAATAGTAATTGGGTTCTTACCGTGTGCACGTCTGAATAAGAAAAAGGTACATCAGGTTAACATTTCATCTGAAGAATAAATCCTACCACATGCCACTAAATTTAGGTTATACACAGACATAGAATTCTTACCTATGTTAGTTTTGACACCATTAACCATGCTTTTTCCCATGCTGGGTTGGCTGCATCTGGAGATGTCGTCCTTGTCATCGATGCGAGATGAATGGACATCAGTAGTTTTGGAGGCTTTAATTGGTTTCTCCGATGAATCCTTCTCTTTCTTTTTTGCAGATGTTGTTTTTGGAGATTTTTCTGTATCTTTTTGAGCTGATGCTTTTGCAGGAGTTGCTGGGTGCTTACTTTTGGCATCAGATTTTCGCCCAGGAGAAGCCGATTTTGATTTGTTCAATGCCTTCTTGGTGCCCTTGGTCTTTTCCTTCAAGTCTTTCTTCAGCAGTTTGTTGATGTTTTGCTCGTTTGCGAGCACCTCTGGATCCACCATGCACACGTCAGGGTGCGGAGGCTGAGGGTGAGGATCCATCATGGGGACAGGAGGTGGGTCATACCCAGGCCGTGAGGACGTATGGTGGGACGTCCCTGTTGTTTTGTCCACAGGGAGGTAATCGGCATCTTCATCGGAGTCGTTAGCTGCGTCTGCGGTTATAGATGGGCAGTCCTCAGTTTCCGGGGGAACATCTGAATCGGAATGAGAGGGAAGCGAGTCACTATCAGACGTGGGGGGAGTTTCCCCACCCACGTTTTGATGGATTTGACTGCCGCTAGTGTGAGGAGTGCTTATCTTCTCCACAGAGGTTGGAACATCATCTTGGGAGTTGTCGTCGTCTGACAGCTCATGGGACTTGGGTTTATGAAAGAAGGGGAGAGCTCATCTTTTTTGTGTTTGTACTCACTTGATGAAAACATAAGCTTGTAGTCCGATGTGGCTCCTAAGCATCCCTCCAAGTCATGGGCAGCATCCCCATGGTCATCGCCTTTGTGAGATGCTGAGAAAAATGATCTGAAGGTTTGATCACTCGACGCCAGAGAGGAAGGACGGACCATTTGCTCACTTGCCTCTTCCAAGTAAGATTTTGAATGCTCAGAATCTGGAGTGCTCTTCTCTGAAGAGGAATAAACTTCTGCCTCCTTTTCCGGTGCGCTTTGCACCAGTAGAGGGCTGAAGCTCATCTCTGTTGGTCCGTTTGCTGTGGCCTCATCCTCTTGTTCAGGAGGAGAGAATGACGTCAGGGTATGAGGAGCTGTAGTTGCTTGTGATGGACGCAGCTCTGAGGGAGCTGTTTCAGTTCCTGTTTTGGTGTCCGCTGGGGTAGAGGAGGCTGATCTTTGGCATTCCACCCTGCAGGACAATGTGGAATCTTCAATGTCACAGAGATAAGCTGAGCTGTGCTCAGCGGGGTGCGCAGGCAGCTCCTCTGTCTCAGTGAGGTGAGAAGTGGCCATGGCTGCCGGGACTAGTGGAGAAACTTCATCCAAACTTCTGCCTTTGGCCTCCACAAGCATGCCTGACTCAAGTGATGTAGAGTACGAGCATTCAGTTTGGGTCTGAGGAGTAGGTATAGGATGGCCATGCAATGTCTCCTGTGAAGATGACACAGGTACGTCATCTTTTAATAAGCTTGTAATTTTACTGTCAGTGGTCGGTTCAGGTGGGAACGGTTTCACTTCCTGGAAGGGACTCAATGGTGAAAATCCTATGCAAGAAGCCTCAATGCTAACTTTCTGCGCTACTTCTAGATACTCATCCTGGACCCTTCTATCTTCAAACAATGTACTCGAAACACTAGACGGAAACATTTCTTCTTTTGTGAAGGTGGAATACTCAAACTGAGCAACAGAAGGCTTCTCTTCCTTGGCCGTGACTGAATATTCAGGCACAGCTGGCCATTGCTCTGGTTTAGATGTCAACGTACACTCAAAGCCAGAGCTCACTAATTCTTTGTCTTTACTAAGAGTACACAATTCAGGACTCTTCTCTCTGTCTTCACTCATCATTTTTTCGTTGTCGCGTTTGGTTTTATCAGAATCTGTACTCTTCTGTGACACAGATTGAATGGTTGTACCAGAATATTCAAACTCAGCAGAGACTGGCGTTTTCGTCGAATAGTCCTCTTGCTGTTTATGTCTTGTGAACAATGAATCCTCAACTTCAGTGTAAGAGTACTTGAGACTGTGGGAAAAGCTCTGGGTTTCATCTAATGCTTCTTTATGCTCACTCGTACTCAAAACATCCTTTTCTTCATGATAAGAGGCGAGTTGCTCCTTTTCCGATTTCTTAGGAAGAGTTTCCACTTCAGTCCCTTTGCTTCCCTCTTGCTTCTGGGTACAACTTCCTACAGCACTTGCTTTGGATTGTTCATCTGATGCAGACTGCTGTCCAGCACTGATGGGAAGGGATTTTCTGTCTGCATCTGGCATTTCGGTATATGGATAACTCATTCCCTTTTCTTGATGTGAAATGTCGAATGGAGACTCTTTTTCCGATTTCTCCGTAGCACCTTTCTCTAACTCTGATTCACTGGTACTTTCTTCATCTTCCTTCTCACAATACCCCAAAATGTTTGAATCTGTCTCCTTCTGTGTCATTTCTGTGTAGCCGGCACCCGTTGAAAAAATGTCACCCAAGCGTGGCATTTCAGCGTATGGAACTGTAGTTGGACGGAATTCTCCTTGTTCTAGACTACTCTGAGGGGACATTTGCTTTTCTTCCGGAGAGGCACAAGAAGAGCCTTCTTCAGGTTTGCCTTCTAAGGAGGTTTTCAAAGTCATATCGCTTAGCTTCCTGTCCTCTTCTTTTGCATCATATCCCAAAGGACTAAACTGAGTGGTTGTTGGTGTTAGAGAAGGAGCCTTGGATGCATCTGGAATATCTGCATACTCTGCAGTACTTGCTGGACTCACTTCTTTTTCTCCAGATAAAGAACTCGTTGACGGCTCCTTTTCTTCTTTTTCTGTAGAAAATAGTGTTTTTTCTATTGGCGACACGTCAGGTGTAGACTTCTTTTCCATTTTGCCAGTCTCCCACGTCATTTCAAATGGCAGCTCTTTCTGTTTTGACATGCAATCTAATCCTTTTGATTCTATTTCCTTCTGTGTCTTCGCCAGCTGTTCAAGCCCAAAGGCAGTTACTTTCTCATCTATCTCTGCGTAGGAAAAGCTTTTATTCTCAGGATAAGGTGTTGCCTCCCTTTCTTCAGATGAGAAGTCATCTTTCAAATTGGTCTTGAATTCCTCTTCCATATAAAGACCAGAACTGGTGAACTTGGCATCCTTGCGAGTCGTGGAATGGTAGTCTGTGTCTTCAGCTTGTTTACTGGGAGCAGGTTCTGGTTTTGTCAGAATATAATCTTTCTCATCTAGATAGAAACCTTTGGCCTCACCTTCTCTCAAAACATCAGAGTATCCATACCCTCCTGAGACAGAGTGCATCTCTTTATGTTGTTCAATAAATGTCTTCTGTTCCTCTTTGCTTGTGGCATCACCAGTCTTCAAGTCCAATTGTTTTTCCTCTTTTGCTGATTTCTCCTCCATTGAATGTTTTATTGTTTCTGGAGTGGTCACTACTGGTGAGGTCACTTTGTGGTCAGTGGTGGCAGATATTTCTGGATATAAATCCCGTTCTTTGTCAAAGGCGCTACTGTATTCAAATGGAGACATGCTGCTATCTTGCCCACTGGTCCAGGAGTAGTCAGTGCTACTGGAAAACCCCTTTGTTCTTTCTTCAAAGTAAGTATATTTCTGTTTACTTTCTGCTGCCTCCAATTCCTTTTTTTCTGTTACTTTATCCTTAAATTCGGGTATTTCAATTGCACTCTCCTCCGGACATGGTGAATGCTGAGACATAAACATGCTATCCTTGTCAAAAGGAGAGCCAGTGTAATAGGAAGTATGATCCCATTTACCAGATTCAAATGAAGAAATCTCAGACTTTGCTTCAGAGCTCACTTGTTCTAATTGTTTCTCTGAAAAGGGCATTTTGTCATCAATGTATGGTTCACAAATCTCCTTCATTGCTCCCTGGATGCAAATGTGTTCAGCCTCAGGAGTGAGCTCTCTCTGACTTTTAGAAGTGATGTCAACTTTGGACATTTCAACCTCCGGTGTAGTTTCATCTTTCTGACTGAGAAAAGGTTCGGATTGTAACAGGTAACCTTTCAACAAACCGCTGTCCATTTCTTCTACAGATTTCATCTTGTCTTCGATAATATTCTGATCTTTAGTTGGTAAAATGTCACCTGCATGTTGCTTCGCATCAAAATCTTTCTCACTTTCCGGTGATAATTGCTGCAGAGTTGTCTTGCTGTCAGAAACAGTTTTGCTGTCTACAGTTTCAGGGATGTGTTTGTCATCTGATGAAGGTTTAATCTGAATGTCTTGCTTTCCTGTTGACTTCAGTAAAACATCCATTTCACAAATGTGATCTTCCAAGGTATCAGTTGATGAATGATCAAATTTATGGACAGCTGCTTCCACCTGTTCCATTGCCGCCAGCTTCTTTTCCTCAATGTCTCTTTCTATTTTTCCAGTATCGCCAGGCTTCTTTTCCACCACATCTATTTTCTCTATTTTTGCATGTCCCTTCTCAAACAATTCTTCCATTTTCTCTGTCGCAATGGGCTGTGCTAGCTCTTTATCCACCTTTTCAGCCTTTGTTGGCTTTTCTGGGGCCTTTTGAACCAGTTTTTCAGCCTCTGTTGGTCTTTCCAGAATTCCTTTATCCATTTTTTCAGCCTCTGTTGGTTTTTCTGGGGTCTGTTTGTCTATCTTTTGAGCCTCTGTTGGTTTTTCTGGTGCCTTTTGAACCAGTTTTTCAGCCTCTGTTGGTCTTTCCAGAATTCCTTTATCCATTTTTTCAGCCTCTGTTGGTTTTTCTGGGGTCTCTTTGTCCACCTTTTGTGTTTCTGCTGGTTTCTCTGAGGTCTCTTTGTCCACCTTTTGTGCCTCTGCTGGTTTCTCTGAGGTCTCTTTGTCCACCTTTTGTGCCTCTGCTGGTTTCTCTGAGGTCTCTTTGTCCATCTTTTGTGCCTCTGCTGGTTTCTCTGAGGTCTCTTTGTCCATCTTTTGTGCCTCTGCTGGTTTCTCTGAGGTCTCTTTGTCCATCTTTTGTGCCTCTGCTGGTTTTTCTGTGGTCTCTTTGTCCACCTTTTGTGCCTCTGCTGGTTTCTCTGAGGTCTTTTTGTCCACCTTTTGTGCCTCTGCTGGTTTCTCTGAGGTCTCTTTGTCCACCTTTTGTGCCTCTGCTGGTTTCTCTGAGGTCTCTTTGTCCACCTTTTGTGCCTCTGCTGGTTTCTCTGAGGTCTCTTTGTCCACCTTTTGTGTTTCTGCTGGTTTCTCTGAGGTCTCTTTGTCCATCTTTTGTGCCTCTATTGGTTTTTCTGTGGTCTCTTTGTCCATCTTTTGTGCCTCTGCTGGTTTCTCTGAGGTCTCTTTGTCCATCTTTTGTGCCTCTGCTGGTTTCTCTGAGGTCTCTTTGTCCACCTTTTGTGCCTCTGCTGGTTTCTCTGAGGTCCCTTTGTCCACCTTTTGTGTTTCTGCTGGTTTCTCTGAGGTCTCTTTGTCCATCTTTTGTGCCTCTATTGGTTTTTCTGTGGTCTCTTTGTCCATCTTTTGTGCCTCTGTTGGTTTTTCTGTGGTCTCTTTGTCCATGGTTTTAGCCTCAGTTGTTTTTTCAGGGGCTTCTTTGTCCATTTTTTCAAGCTCGGTTGTTTTTTCTGGGATCTCTTTATCCATTTTTTCAACCTCTGTTGATTTTGCCTCTAAAATCTTTTCCACAATTTGCTCTGCACCTGCTGGCTTAGTCTTGAAAACCTCCATTTCAGTCTCTGAATATTTCTTTACCGGGAACTCCATATCCATGCTCTCCACATCTGCTGGCTTCCTCTCCTGAAGAGCTCCTTCCACTTTGTCTGGAGATTTCTGATCTAGAAGTTCCTTATCTATAGTCGCGGTACCTGCTGGCTTCGTCTCCAGATCCTCTGTATGTATTCTTTCAGCCTCTGTGGCCTTTTCCATTTCTATATCTGGAGATTTCTTCTCCAGGATTTCCTTCCCAATTTTATCTGTATCTACCGGCTTCAAGTCTAGAACATCTTTTTCCATTTTCCAAGCCTCTGTGGGTTTTTCTGGAACTTTCTTTTCTAGGATTACCTTTTCATCCTGTGGAGGTTTTTCCAATGAGATTTCTTTCCCAGTTTTCTTTGTATCTGCCAGCTTCGTCTCTAGATCATCTTTTTCAGCCTCTGGAGATTCCTTGCCCTCTATGCCTGTTCCCTTTGTCTCCTGAAGATCTTTTTCAATTTTTTCTGTAGCTGCATGTTCTGTTTCCTGAACGTCCTTTTCCATTTTCTCTGTTGTTGTATATTCTTGCTCATGAGCCAGTTTTTCTTTTGGTGTCAGTTCAAAGTCATAGGCATCTGTGTCCAGAACAACAGGTGCTGAAGGCAGGAATGATTCTTGATGCAATTCAGATCTTAGTTGAGTATCATCAATGGGACTGTGTCCTGAACTACGTTGCATTGTGTCTTCGTCCTTAGCTGGTTTCTCAGTAGGCATGGATATTACTTGTATAGTCTTTTCCAACAGTTCTGCTTCAACAGTGTCAGGCCTTTCCTCAACAGGTGATTGATGGAAAGGTGTGTGTCCAGCACTGGTTGGTCCTGATTGAGTTGGTGAGGCCATTTTTACAGTGCTGTCATCAGGGCTGATGCACTTCTCATCACTTTCTGGCAAACTAGAATCAAAATGCAAGGATGGCTTGAATTCATCATCGGTCTTTTGAAAGAGAACATTTTGGTTAAATTCATCGGATGAATCGGGAGCAGTTGTGCTCTTTTCCGGAAACCAGGCTGAATACTGCTCTTTATGCTTCTCTGGCATTTCTGCATTAGGCGTTTGCTCTTCTTCCTCCTCCTCCTCTTCCTTCATTTTAGTAATGACCTCAGCAATAGGGTGGAAGTCTTCTGATGGTGGGGATTTGAAGTATTTGTCTTCTTCCAATGATGATGTGGGCGATATAGTACCTGCTGATGGGAGGTACTCTCTGCCTTGGGTGGCTTCTGTTCTGCATGATGCCAAGCTGTTTACCGTGTCCAACATAAGAGAGCTCTTTCCCGTCTCCTCTGTCTGAGGTGCGGTTACTGATGCCACAGACTGGTCTTCTGCCACTGACGTAGCAAATGAAGAGAGTTTATCACACTCTGTGATGGAAGCAGCAGATGAAATGTGTTCCTCTTCAGCAAGGGGTGCAGCCAGTATCTCGGAGGGATAGACCACAATCTCGGGCTCCTCTCGAGCGAAGCCCTTGACACCAGTCTCGATTCCAGACATGGCCTTCATCTCCTTCATTCCATGGACTGCATCAAAGGACCTTGTATCATCTGGCACAGAGATGTCATACGTGTCCACTTCATATTTTAGATGACCAATTCGATCTTCCTGTTCATCGTGAATTTCTTCATCAGAAATGGTTTGTTCAGTTTCAGAATAGCCAGGAATAGTTTCATCCTGGATGTATGAAACCGGCTCTCCCACTGCTCCCTGTGTGGATAGCATTTGTGTTCCCAATGCCTCTGTTTTAGCCACAGTATCTTTTACTTCTTGTTCTTCAACCTTTTTTTGCACTGCTGCTGATTGATACTTAAATAATTCTTGGTCTTGTTTTTCACTGTATTCATCCTTGTCCTTCAATTCATCTGAATATTTCTCTTTTTCTTGCTCCTTTGCTGTTAATTTTAAATCGTCGTCTACATCTTCTGTTTCTTCCACTTCTGCCTTTTCTACCACCTCTTCCCCCTCACTTTCTTCTACTTCACCCTGGTCCCTCATCTCCATTGTTTCAATGTACCTTTCACACGTCTCCATCTGTTCCTCTTCCTTTCTTCCAACCTCTTTTCCTTCCTTTTCTAGAGTCACAATATTTTCTTTGAAAAGGTCCTGTTCTTTTGCTTCATCAATTTGAGCCTTTTCTAATCCATCCTGCATAACTGTTCTTTCTTGTAACTCATCGGGTTCCTTCTCTGCCTTTTTCTCTACTCTTTCTTCCAATTCACTCATTTCCAACGATTCCTCCATTGCAGTTCCTTCATCTTCAAACTTCTCAGCAACATCTGTAGTTGGCTGAGGTGGACAAATACCGTGTTCTTCATAAGGTGATTCACCTTCTACATCTGTTGTGGTTATTCCTTCATCTGGCGATTCAAGAGGAGCCTTTATGTCAGTAACGGTAGGTGTCATTATCAGCTCTGGCTGAGGGCTGGGAACAAGTGTGTCTAGTTGTTCCTCATTTACACTGGCCATTTCTTCCACATCAACAGGACTTACGCTTGGTTCTACACAAACTGGCTCTTTAGTCACATCCGGTTTGGTCGTCTCTTGTTTCAGTTCCTCAAAGTCCTTAGTTAAGTCTTCAGGTGAAGACATTACAGATCTCTCTGCTTGCAAATCAATGGATATTTGTTCCTCTGCTACAGGTTGAGTTGCTGCTGGCTCATCTTTTTGTTCGACTTTTATCTCTTTTCCCACTTTTGTTTTAGCAGAATCTATTTTTCTGCCTGGCATTTTTGCCCTGTGCAGAGTTTTCCTGACTTCTGGTGTAAATGGTTTAAAGTCGGTTTTAGAAAATTTCTTGATTTCTTTTTTCACCTCCTTTTCCTTCTTCTTTTCATCTTTTTTTGCCTCCTTTTTCTCATCTTTTTTCGAGTCATCTTTTTTCTCCCTTTTAATTTCCTTTTTCTCCTTGTCCTTCTTTTCTTCGGACTTTGCCAGCTTGTCTTTGGTGTGCTTTTTTAGAGTTCTTTCCTTGACCAACTTTTTCTTTTCTGTTTTCATTGCATCAGCTGCTGATTTTTCTACTTCACTCTTTACCTTTTTTTCTTCTTTCTTTTCTAGCTTGCTTTCCTTTACTGGCTCAGGTTTAACCTCTGGAGGCTTTGTAGAGATCTCTTCTGGTGTTTCCTCCTTTTTCACAGGTTTAGCAGCTGGCCTGGGTGAAGATTTGAGACTTTCTTTGCTATCTGTCCTCTGCCTTACTTTTGTCTGTTTCACAGCTGGTGGGGTCATACCAGTAGAAAGGTCTTTTTGTGTGGCAACAGGGTATTTTAGAAAATCTAGGTGTTTTAATTTTTCTAGTCCCTCCAAGATTTTGTTCTGTGGTGCATTCCCAGGGAACAAGACACGGACAATTTTCTCTGTAGGGTTGGCAGGATGCCACACAACTAAAGCTGTGATGGAGGTTAGATAAGGGACTGAAATCTCCCCTTCTTTTCCATTGGGCAGAATGATTCCAGTCTTTGCCTTGCTATTTCCTGCCCACTTCTGCATCAGAAACTGCATTTCCTTGCTGTCTTTTACTGGGTTGAGAATGTACATGTCGAGTCGTCCAACTCCCATCTTGTGAAACAATGGGATTGGATCAATAGTTGCGCCAACAACCCTGTTGAGAGGTTCTTGTTTGATACTGAGTTTGGTTAAGTACTGTAGTGTTAAACAGGCTTCTTCAATGCTCCTCTTGACTTTCATAGACGACTCCTGCATTTTTAATTTCTCAGGGACATTGAAGAATACTACTCCGAGTTCAGGAGAGATGAGATTTTTCATCCAGTCACTGTAAGTTGTGGAACCTTGCGATTGCTCCTCATCTTGCTCGGCTATTTTTCGCTGGAGGAGGCCGTTAATTCCAGGCAAATTGTCTGCACCAATGTGCGTCAGGAGTATGGAATCGATCCTGTCCAAATGACGAACAAGCTTCCAAAAGCAGGATTTCCTTTCAGATCCTCCATCAATGAGGATGTTGAAGCCATTCACAGCGAACAATGCTGAGTCTCCTCTTCCCCCAGGGAAGATATAGCAGCATGGTTTGGACAGTTTAAGGAAACCCCCTGAGGTGGGAGGCTCTAGGAGGTCAAAAGGTGACGGAACCTCCACAGATTCGGAGAGGTATTCTGTAAACTCAGAGACTCCATCCATCTCTGGCAGGACAGTTGCTGGGTTCAGATTAAGGTTGATGAACTCCTGGAGATTGTGTTGTTCTAGATTGTTCCAGTCCCCTTCTCCGGCGTGGCAGATCGTCAGAAAAGCCTTGGTGTCAATGTCTGTATTGCTCAGTAGCTCTGTAATCTAAATTAACAATTAAAGGGTGTTAGACAAACTTGCAATGGAAAACACTCGACTTAAAGAATACATTGGTAAACAATTGTGGTGCTACACTCTTACAATTTGTGATGCATCAATCACAGTGCTATTATTTGTGCAGTACCCATCATCCATATACATCCTTATTCAAGATGCTCATCCTCACCTACAAGGCCATTCACGGCCTTGCTCTCTCCGACCTACTATCCCCCTACTTACCTGCCCGTTCCTCTGGCTCCGGTCTGCTCCACATCCCCCACCCCAACCGCCCTACCATCAGTGGCTGGCCCTTCAGCCTCTCAGCCCCTAGGCTCTGGAACTCTATCCCCCAGTTCCTTCGCCTTGCTTCCTCCTTCCTCCCTTTCCTCTTTCTCAAGGCCGGTCTCAAGACCTTTCTCTTTGACCGTGCCATCAGCTCCCCTCTCGACCCCCTCTTCGTTCCCTCCCTGCACCCTGACCATTTCGCCCTGCTCGGGTCCTGACACAACTGTCCAGCGCCTTGGGACGTCCTCCCAACGTGAAAGGCGCTCTATAAATGAAATCTTGTTGTTGGTGACCTATCGGAGTGGAATCAGGAGACTGTGGTGGCTCGTAGGAAAGAAAGGAGGGGAGTGGTTGAAGACATGGAGAAGTCAAAGAGCCCCAGGGAGTGAGGGAGATATTGAAAGGGTTTCATTGGTGACTTTGATCAGGGAGATCTCACTGCTTTGTGGGGAAGAAACCAGACTGGAGGGTTGGGTTTGGAGGAGCAAATGGTGGTGTATTTGATGGGTTGGGGGTGGAGAGGGGGACTGATAGCAATTGTGTAGCTCCTATAGTCAATTGATCCAAATCCTCCTTACACATTAACAGATCAAAATTACTCCTTGCACTACATTCATTACCCAGGTGCAGTGGATGGCATTGAGCTTACACATTGAGAGCACTGGCCTGAAGTCAAAACCTCACCCAAAAATTCCTACCTCAGGATCTGCAAAGGTCTCAGTGAATCTTCGAAAAGAATAAGTTCCACTCTGCAGAATGAGGTCCCCTCCTTGGTCAGAGCTTTGCCCGCACAGAACCAACAGTTTACGGCGGGAGGAGTCAGTCACCAATGAATGAACCTGGATCAGAGTATAAAATTAACCAACTAACCAACCATTTCTATTCCATCCCTACGTTCCTCCTCCCTGTTTCCTTTCAGCCAGTCACGAACAACGTAGCTAATGTATTAGATCAGCCTAAGACTCGAGAGACATTCTCACACTGGGGACAGCCATCTGTGATTGTCAGACAAATCCAATGGCTCTCAAATGCTGCCACTCATTTGTAAGCAGCACTGAGGGTGATCATGAAGGACTTCTAAGAGCAAGTCATACCATTCCGATTACCAGCTTAATGGGAAAAGAAATTACTCTGGGCAAGGAAATAATATGGGATGCAAGGGCCAAATGCAAAAACAAAATACTAAATGAAAAAAATCTGGGAAAATCATAGGAAGTAAATGAGCCTACTTCATTGGTAAATCTACAAGTGTATCATAGATGTGATACTGCATTTAAAAGGTTAAGATACCAATAGAAGCTTTTTAAAAGGAGAAGGCATCCTAGCAAACCAGGGATCCTTCATTCAACTATAATGAAGATCTGGTTCTTCAGCAATTATTACTTTAATACCAGACTTTGCACATGATGCACATTAATAGGTTTAATGTTAAGACACCTCAAAAGCGGACAATTTCAACAGTTCAGTTTTACCTCTGAGGCAATAGTTTCTTCGGCAGGATTAACTAGCACCACAGTCTCAAGGGCATCACTACTGTGGTGAAGTGTCTTCTGGCCTGAAATGCAAGAACATTGAGATTCTAGTCATTGTTTTGAAATGCTACCACAAAAAAACTCACGTTCAGAGGAAGTGTCCAATGCCATTTGCCACCAAGAAAAACTGGCCTTAGGCAACGAATAGTATGTGCCAACCCTCAAGAAAACACACAACCTGAGGATGTATACTATAGTACGGGACCCAAGTTCCTGTTCAAATTTCAGTGTTATATTATTTTTTGTATTTGAAAGAGCACCCATAAGGTCAACATATCTCGAGCAGTAATTCAGAAGTAATTGCTGTGAAACATAGTGACTATGTATTTGTAGTATTCCAATGCAAATTTGGGTTGTGCCCATATAACAGGGCTTCTCCCAAATGAAATACTATTCTGATGCAGCAATAGATTGGTGCCCATGCCATTCTGTCCTACAGAATGGAGCCAGCTTTTGCTGGTCTTTCTACATTAAGCTAAAGGAAATCACATATGTAATGCACTCAAACTGCCATGACAGTGAGAACACAACACATTTTCTATTTGACTGAAAAGGATGGAAGACTGTCTAGCACCTTTTCAATGAGCTACAGTAATGCTGTTGTTGGAACACAAGCCTCAGTACAAGATCAGGCTGATGCTTCCCAATGCAGCCCAATTAGTCAGCTCCGGCGCCTCAGTGATACTTCAGTTGAATTAGAAAACTGCCTGCAGAATGGCTCAGCCTCTGCCCTTGTCACAAGGGGTGCATTCAGGTCAGGTGGTGGGCTACTTACAAATAATGGCAACTGCTTCATGACATCCTTCATCTGCTCTGTCAGTCCTCCTCTGAAAGATGGCTAAATGTTTGTCCCAGTTTCTGCCTAAGCTGCATCGTGTGATTTGAATTGCAATGGGGCTTCTGTTGCTAATCCAATTAAACCCTTACAGCAATTATAGCTCAAGCACTTCGGTAGCAACTGGTTAGTCTGAGGCACGGCAGCATTTGGCATCGGGTTTCTGCTGCTCTGGTCTGTTGTAGGAATTAGCGAGCACCGTGACAGGTAACACACCCCTTCTAGACTGTGGGGGCTTCTCAATCTCATATTAGGCCTCCAACGGTCCAACAAATCCCAATAAAATGCTCAAGTTGTATTCATAGAAAGCATCAATGAACTGTAATAATCTTCACCTTTGATATTGTCAAAATGTTTCAAAGTGTTTCACAGGATATTGCTATCAAGTGTAGCAACTATGTATAGGCAAACCGTCGCCATTTGGTGCACAACAGAGACCTACAAAAGTCCATGAGATAAATGAGAAAAAATTTCTGGAAGATTATTGGCCAGGACTCCAAGAAGAACTTGCATCTCTTTTCGAATAGTGCTATAGGAGCTTTACATATAGCGCCCCACAAGGCAAAAAACAAACATTAATAGGAACTGTATGCATTACCCTTATGCCATTAAGGGGGAGCACTACATCTGTGGAGGTACCCTCCTTCAGAGGAGACATTAAACCAGCTGTTGTGTTAACCCTCAAAATCACTCAAAATACTGTACTTGACATTGATTACTGTAAAGGGCTTGTGAGACTTTGACTTGATAAGATGCTATAAAATGCAAAGTTTTTTCTTTCTCTGGTTATTAGAGTATTGAGAATCTTCAATTAATTTACTGTGGTTCTCAATCCAATTTCCTTCATTACTCATCTCCATTGGCCCTATACCCTCATCATTGTTCCCCATTTAACATGGCACTGTTTGAACAATGATAAGTTCAATGCTAAATCACAAGGAACATCAGAACTGTTTCACTCTTGTTCAGATGTCCCATTACTTGGCTTTGTATTATGAACTAAAATCAGTTATAAATCGATGAAAACTGACATTTTCCATATTGCTGCTATTTTTTCCATTTTAGAAAACAAAGTGCAAGAATCTTTAGAATATGCTTTTTGTTTTGCATTTGGATAAACAGGGACTAAATGAAAGTTGAATCCAAATTATTTACATTCTGCTGCACACCGGACACAGAATGTACAGACGTGATATTGCTTAACAGCAATATTCATCTTCTGCTTCACTGATCTTTCTCAACAGGATCACAGGAAGGTCAGGGAAAGCCTTTGGGGTTTGTAACATCTATTAATAATAGAGACTGTCCTCAGGGCTTGCAATAAAAATGAGTTCTCCAATGCCCATTACCACAGATAATACAGTCTACTCTTATGCTACTAACTAACAATACCAATCTTTTCACTGCATCACAAAGATGCAGAGAAAAGATAGCTGATGCAGGGGAAAGATTACTATTTTTAGCAATCTGATGTCTATGTCTTTCTGTATCATCATACACTGATCTGTCCAGAAAATGTCTTGAGCATTCATAAACTGTTAAATATCTGCCTTCCTGCACTGATGAATTTATTAAAAAATCTCTGGACAGAACAGTGTTTTAGGGTTTGTCAGTACCTTGGCTCAGTTAGTTACTCTTGCCTTTGGGTCAGAAGGTTGCGAATTCAAGCCAGACATTGGGAATTATGAAATAATAAATAAGGCACCTCATTACAGAAAATGCTCCACAGCCATGATATAATAGAAATTCACCATTATACAAAGGATGAGCTGTTAGTTACAGGAAGACACTTGAAAAGCTGGAACCATTTTCTGCTGGAGCAGAATTGATTAAGCGAAATCTAACTGAGGCTTTCGGTTATTAATGGTTTAGAAGAGACTATTTTCACTTGAGACTATTTTTCAGTGAGTTAGTAACCAGAGAGTATAAACCATTAGAAGCAAAAAAATTAGGTTAAAAACAAAGAGGATTCTTAGAAATACTTGAATAATAATATGAAAGGGTTGTGGGGAAAGACCAGGGAAACTATTGGGTTTAGAGAAGATAACTTCAATGGGGATACTAAAACACCAATCATGATGGTTTGAATCGACTCCTTTTGTGCAATAAAATCTCTAATAATACTAATTTATATAGTGGCTTATCACGTTGTTGAGATAGCTCAAAGCACGTCACAGAATATACTGTAAAGTGAATCGATTGTATTTTGTGGGCGAAACGCGGCAGCGAATTGCACCCGGCAGTGTCCCTCAAACACTTGTGATTCTAATGCCTTTGACAGCAACAATGAAATTAGAGCATTGTCATCTTGGTTGATATTGAGCCAGTGTTGTTAATAAGTAAAACACATGGTCAATGTGTTAACATTTGGCTAAAGGCTATCTATAAGGCCCTTGGTGGGATCTCAGTCTCCATTAGTATATAAGCAGTCACATATGACATTGAAGTGCACAGCTGAATCTTAAATGTGGTCATTTGCCAAGAATAATCTTACTGGTGCAAGATTAGGATTTCTATAGCTTTTGAAGAGTTCTCAGTGGTGATTGAGTAGACTGTACCATAAACCGAAACGTATTAATGTTGGTTGAGGGTATTAGATCACGTTTCCAAGCCTACACTTGGGGTTACACAAAACACATACACACTACAGCAGGAGGCTATCGCAAGGTTTATCTGCGAATGAGCGATGTGTTAAAATCTTCTGGCGAAGAACGAATGTAACATGAACAATTGAAGGGATGTTGCAATCGGAATGGTTTGTTCACACTTTGCTTTTGGCTTGCAACCAAGCGGTTCTAGAATGGAAACAAATTACCCGTTTGGCAGAAGTTAACAAGCCACACGCAGATAATATATCTTAAGAACTGGAGCTTGAGCTCTTTAGTAATGGCATTACTGAATGCTCAACACTGTGTTAATGTTGGTCACAGCCACGGGTGGTCTGAGGCAGCATTGTCGAACCCAGATTTGTACTGAGCCACATATGTGGCTCTTGAACAGTAACGTGAGCCACACCAGTTTCTGCAGAAGCAGCTGCAGTTTCTCTGGAATCTTCGTGAGTTCTAAAAACGTATTCTGTGTTTCTGGCACATTAGGCAGGAACGCCCTTTATTTGGTGTGGCTACACCATATAAAGATTATAAGCCCATATGTTGTAATGTGTGGCAAAAGCACCATGGTCAGAAACGCCTTTACCTCTTACATGAGGTCTCACGACCGATTAACAACCCGTCATCAGGTATGTGCGCGTGTTTCTCTTAACTGTTACACCAGAGATGCATATAGAAATATCCAATTCAAATGGGCGGAGATTACATAATCCTTCGTTCATTTTCAAATCAACCTTGTAAACAAGCCATTGATATGCTTGTACAGTTTTGCACATGCAAGTTCCTAGTATTTAACTAGTCCTAGTATTTAACTGAGTTACAGACAAAGAGAGTAGAGACATCATGAGGTGCAAGATATATTCATTCCAATATATGGAGAACAGTTCATGGGAATCATGTATACAAATCTAAGTCATTATATAGTCAATCTCCAAAAACATGTTGTGGAAATTCAATTGAGTTTACCTGTTTTGTTCAGTTATTCAGACGAGTGTTATTTTGGATGACCATTTCAAATAAATATTCCAGAAGTATGACTAGAGAAAACGTTACCACATACATGCAATGCAATGTGTTCAAGTAGCCATGCACACGTCAGCAGGAGCAAATTGTCAGCGGGAATTATCTGAAACATATGCTTTCTACTGAAGCTGAAGTGGCTGTGGCTTGTGGCTCTATGGTTCGACAATGTTGGTCTGACGGATTACTACAATGTTTCCCCTCTAATGTAATAACACTTCCTTAGCAGATTGATTAATTGCTTAAACAGCTGAGACACGAAAATCTATTATCACAACCTTTCACTTAGGTTAGGACATTACCTTACATTAATTGTGATGTTTTTTATAACTACATGAATATCAAATGCAAGGATTATATTATTACACTGGTCACTCAGTAGAAAAAGCAATGGCCAATGCAGTACAACAGACCAGGAAAGTATCAAATCGAATCCCTGGTTTGTGCTTTGTGGTTCTCAGCAGGGAAGGCAATGGAGCAGTCTCTGATTTTAGGCATGGATGCCAAACTGTCACTTACAGCAGGGGAATACAGCGAAGGGGCTTTGCAATGATACACA